GAAAGAGAAAGGCCAGATTGGAGGAAAATTAAGGTTTGTGGATTTGTCTCGTATATGTACTTAAAAATCAGTATTAATATATTACAGGCCAGTATCAAAATTATCTTCTAATAAGTTCCTCATTAAAAAAATTATTCTGAGAAGCCTGGTCAGAAAAGTTAAATACTTGTTTTTAGAAAAGGACATTTGTCATTATGCTAGTTAATGCTACAATCAGATTGTAAGAAATAATGTGGTATGATGTGACTTGAAAGTGCTTCAAGTAAATTTCCAGATGCAGTTGTTAATGATGCTTCATTTTGAAAAGAGGAAATAGTTATAAGCCTGAGTATGATAAATATTTTTAATAACAATCTGTGAGCAACTGTGAAACTACTCATGAGGAGTGTGTGACATTTGGGTTGCATGGCAGATCTTTGGTAAAGAGGGCAGAATAGTCATAGAACGTGATCTGCATTGCTTTGATTGGGGTTTTTTCTGATGCATTTTAGGATGTTTAGGTGGTTCTTCTTTTAGGGACAAATTGTGCAGACAAGTCCTCTAAAACCTCTAAATTCCTAGAAAGCTAATTCTGACAAGAACTTGTAGGTAAAAATCTAATGCAGTGACAAACTGATAAATGCATATGTGTGTAATAAGTCCCTACCATCACTTCTGTCAGTTTAAAATTAAGAGGAGGGGGGAATGTGGTTTGTGAAACTGATAGTTGAATGTCATATCCAGTTCTGGTTTTGTAAAGTGTCTTGAAATACTAACAAGTGCAGAAGAGATATAATTGATATCAATAACAGATGGAGAAAATATCTTACAGTGATAGGCTTAGATCAATTTCTTCTCTTCATTAAAAAAATATTGCCATCAAAGAAGAGTCAAATCTCTAAGATCTAGGACATGCTGCTTTCAGCAGTGAGGGTGGTTAGCTGTTGCCACAAACTGCCAGGAAGATGCTGAATTCCTTATCTTCATCCTTTCCAATTAAGATTAGATGCCTTTTTAAAGAGTGTGATTTAATCAAATGCGAGTTAATGGGTTTATAGATGGTAAGTGGGGAAGTTGTGTAATCAGCATTAGCAACAAGTTCCATTAGTTACTTCTGTGTTTGAAAACCTCCAAAAACAGGCAAGAGGATAGAATAAAAAGGACATGTGCATTAGCACATTAGTGTAATTTTCCTGCTCTTTCAGCATTTACTGAATGTTAGAATTAAATATCTCTTGCTGGGGAGGAGGAGGTGGTGGCAGAGGGAGCAGTCAGGAAGAATACTGATCATTACCTTAAAAAAAAGATGTCCATTATGAATGAGTGTGTGTAGACTGCAAATACTCCAGTTGGTGTATTTAGGTAACCCTAATGCTGGGCAGAGTGTTAAAGCAGGGGCAGACTTCTGCAATACTTACTGCCAGTATGTGTGAATGTGGTAGATAGAGTTGCATGTTCAGAGTGTGGGGAGGCTAGCTGTACTGCCTAGGAAAGACCTCTGCTCTTGTCAAACAGCAATGACCAATGCTGAGAGGAAAGTTCATGAATAACAGCAGCAAAATACGTGTCATGTTGAGACTCTGCAATGCATTCTCTTTGTTGTTTGTAAGCAATATGGGACAGATCACTCATTCTTTCACCATTTTTCCTGTATTATATGGAAAACTGATTTAGAAGTTGTATGATAGATCTGAGATTTTGTGTGGTTGTCTTTGTTACCAAGACACACTGTCTCAGACTAGCTTTTGGTTGGTCTGCCTTAGAAAAGCATATTAATCTGTGACGAGAGAAACTTTTGCAGTAATTACTCTTTTTGCAGATTGTGGAGTTGTTCCTGTTTAATTATAAATACAGCAGTAAGTCAATACACTAATAATTATTTTCCTGCTTCATACTAATATTGGGTGTGTCCTTATGCTTCACATCATGTACAATCTGCTGTTTCTCATAGTTTAGAATTAGATAGACATTATTAATCACCAAAATAACATTCCTACTTGGAAATGACCCTGATATTTTGATTTAATTGGAGCTTGTTGTTAGGTACCTATTGTCTGTGGCTGTTCAATCTTCGCATAGGTTGAACTTAGTTTTGTACTTTTTATGCAAAAAATAATTTAGAAAGTACTGAGAACAATTTTCTTATTGGTGACAAGAACAAACTACATTACAGAGGTCTGATGGTCCTAACAGTTCTGTGTGACATTTGAATCATCATGAATATATGCAGATACTAGAGTGTTTTGCATAAAACTGTTATACTAAGTGGAGACATAAATTTGTGCTTTTAAAAGTATTGCTGTGGTTAAAAGATTGCATTATTACAATTAGTGCACAGGTCTTACCATTATTAGAATGTGATTCTTGTCCCAAATGTCAATCATTTAATAAGGTCAATTTTCAGACATGCACTGACTCCTTCATTTTGAAGAGAAGCACCTTTGTAAATAAAATCATTCTGTGTTGTGCAATGATGGTGGGAATCAAATCAAAGTTCCCTTTGATGTGATGAAGTTTCTTGTCACGGCTTATCCAGGAAGAGTTTGAGCCATCCCAGAGCATACCCTGCCTGGTCTTTGGATGTCAAAATGATATCTCAGACAACAATGATGGCTACAACATTATTTCCTCTTGCTCCTTTTTCCATGTCAAACGAAATGTCTTTACTGTTTAATTTGTAAATTAAACCTCTGAAACTGTTGGCAAATGCTGATTTAAAACACACTAGTGATATGATTTTGTCAGACATCTGTGCTCAGAAGATGCCTGGCTGTTTCTCCTAATCTTACTTTCTTGTTTTCCCTCAGAGCAAGCCCCAGTTTGTGCATGTAACAGAATTTTAGCCTCAAGGAGACAGAAGCATGAATTGCTAAATTTAAATCTCTGGCTGCCATGAAATAGTAGAACTAGAGGTATAGCTGATACAGCTATATCATCAGTGCTTGTTGCGTATGGGAATGGCAGATTAGCATAGTGGTGTAAGTAGTGAAGTTTTCAGGGAACAGCTACATCCATAGTCAAATGTGCTCATTTCCGAGAAGTGAAGTCAATGCAGAGGAAATAAGGCAACATGGGAATCTATGGCAAATAATTTCACCTTAATATACGAAACTGGAAAATGAGGGTTTGCCTGTTGTGTGGTTCCAGTGCCTTGTAACGCAGTACACGTTTAGGAGGAAAGTGAGAGGAAATGTTTTTTTGTTCAAATGCAATGAAGTTTCCCTGCTTGCACTTATCTGAAGACTGCTTTCCATCTAGAGAATACTAGATAGTATATGACATATATTTGGGGAAGATTGAGTAAATGAGTGCTGAGATGCAGTCCTTCCCCAAATCCTGCATTTTACAGAAGCTAATTCCAGGTGTCTTCTGATCCATCTTAAATATATTGC